TAAAGAGGTTGGTCTAGAAGTAAACATTAAGAAAACTAAGGATATGTTGCTGTCTCATCACCAAAATGCACGGCAAAATTATGATATAAAGATAGGAAACAGTTATTTGGAAATTTTGCACAATTCAGATCGAAACCTGATTCAGGAGGAAATTAAAGAGGAGATTGAACTCGGATAATGCTTGCTACCATTCAGCCCACAACTATTTGTCTTATAGTCTGCTGTCCAAAAACATAAAAATCAGAATGTACAAAACTATAATTTTGCCTGTGGTTCTGTATGTGTGTGAAACTTGGTCTCTGACATTAAGGGAGGAACATAGACTGAGGGTGTTTGAGAACAGGGTGTTGAGGAGAATATTTGGACCTAAGACTGATGAAGTGACAGGAGGTTGGAGAAAACTGCACAATGATGAGCTTCATAACTTTTATTCTTCTCCAAGTATAATCAGAATGATCAAGTCAAGGAGGATGAGGTGGTCAGATCATGTGGCACGAATTGGGGAGACGAGGAATGCATATAGGATATTGGTGGGAAAGTCAGAAGGAAACAGACCACAGGGAAAACCAAAGCGTAAGTGGGTGGACAATATTAAAATGGATCTTAGAGAGATAAATGTGACATGTTATGGATTGGACTGATCTGGCTCAGAATATGGACCAGTGGAGGGCTCTTGTGAACACAGTAATGAACCTTCGAGTTCCATAAAATGTGGGAAATTCTTGAGTAGCTGCAGAATTGGCAGCTCCTCCAGAAGGCTCAGCTCTATGAGTAATTAAGTAAGGAGTGGACAGTATGTTGGGGATTGTAATTTTGTATGTTTTTTATTGTTTTCTTACCTTATGTGAGCAGTGTGTTGTCTGCATGAATGATTTTGTGGGACTGGTGTTAGTGGTACCATGCCTGCATGTATTTTATGCAGTGTTGCACATAGTGCTGCAGCCTGCTCACATAGTGGGGAAATCTGTGTGTTAACGTTTTATATAATGATTACTAGAGCTAGGATTTTTATGTAAATACTTATTTTATTTCTTACTAATGTAGATGATCAAAAAGTAATAATCTCCACGAACTGCAGTATTATAATTTGTACAGCTGAATTTTATTCTACATATTTTTGTTATTTCCTACATATTTTTTGAGTTGTTACATCAAACTACACATTTCATGATATTTCTCTTTACTTGCATTTTAAACTGGGAAGCGTCTCCATTTTTTAATGTGTATTTTGATTAAATACCTTACTAATGGTCTCCTCCACTGATCCAAAAGACTTTTTCTTGCAATGACATGGAAATCCAGAAGGAAATATTTCTTTTGTAAAGCAGAATAAACTACAAGCCCTGGGTACTTCCGCTCATTAGTGTGACCTGCATGTTCAGGATTTTTCTAAGAATCTGAACAGTGTTTCTATGCACTGCAGTTAAAATCCCCTTCCCTCTCACCAAACATACTCACCCACTCCAAACCTGCGTTCTTGTCTTGAAATTTTTGAAACTGAGTTTTGTCTTGTATGAGCAGTTAAATCAGTCAAGTTCAAGTCTGAGTAGTCGATATAGTTATGGTACTGGTTGCATCCTATCTGGTGTCGAAGTACAATTTGTGGGTAAAAATAGACAATTCCTTCAAAACCAACAGTAAAATCATAATATGTCTGTATTGCCACAAAAGTATTGTGGTTTTCCATGAAATCACAGCTGGAGCAACATGTATGAAGTAGGCTACATATAAAGAACAAGCAGCTGAGTTCTTCGAAGAAGCAAGAGCTCTTAACACAGACACAGCAATCATTGACTTCAAGAAACGAACTCATCAGGATATGTGCAACTGGATGGTGTCTGCAAACATCCCCTTGTTTAAACTCCAAATGCCAAAATTTCAGTCCTTTCTGGGAACGTGCCAAAAGCAACATATTCCACACTAGTCAACACTTCAAAACCGTTATCTGCCTATCTGCTATAAAGAAACTTTGGAAAACATAAGAGGGAACATAGGAGATGCCTTTATATGGGTTGGTGTGGATGAAACAACAGATTTGTGTCAGTCGCTTTATCACACTCTCTTGTTGCTGGTAAGTTAAGACATTGAAGTTCCTTCTAATCCACATCTGACTTGCTCCAATGATCTGAACCATACAAATTATTCCACTGTTGCAAGATCCATTCATGGGGAGAAGGTGCTGATTTTGTCTTCAGATGCTGTGGCATATAAGCTGAAAGCTGCAACTGCATTGAAAGTGTTCGATCCTAATTTGATTCATTTTACTTGCCTGGCTCACAGACTGCAACATGCTACTGAGGTGGTTTTGGCCAAGTTCCTACAAGTGAATAAATTAATGCTGATGACAAAAAAAAAATGTTTCTGAAAGCCCCATATTGAGTGCAATCCTATTAGCAGCACTTGCCAAATGCACCCTTGACCCCCAAAACAGTGCCAACAAGATGGGGAACCTGGACAGAAGCAATCTACTTCTACAGTGAACACTCTGAAACTGTGAAATCAGTTGTAGCCAAGTTCCCGTCTGAGTCTGCTGTTTCGGTGCCTGAATCCCAAAGTACATTCAGCAATCAAAAAGTGGCTTGTTCAGTTGCCTACATCAAAAGCAATTCTGGCTGGCTTCCAGACAGTAAAAACGTTTAGAAGCCCTGCAAGAGTATATGGATATAATGTAAAATGTAAGTGAAAAGCTTGGTGTTGTCAAAGAGGAGACTGCTAAAAGTGTGTCCACTAAGTTGCAGGTGGTGTTAAAAATACCCTGAATTTTCGATGTTTACCAGTGTCTGTCAGGTACTTAATGGAGACGATGCAGATCCCCCTATATGCATTGCTTCTCAGAAAATTCCTTTGTTAAAAAACGCACCAGTGACATCTTGTGATGTACGAAGATCCTTTCCTGCCTACAAACACATACTATCAGATTAAAGGCAATCAGTGACCTCGTACAATATGGAAGAGAGTCTAATTGTGTATTGTGTATAAAAAAAAGCAATGGCTGCAAAAAGATTGTAAATACAGATTGCTTGCAAAACTTACTACTTCTAGGTGACGTTGCATATTTTAATGAATCCACATATTTTACTACATATTTCAGAGGTTTCTGTGAAATATGCATTTGCATGGTGAGAGTACATAAAAGTCATAGCTCTAGTATTTACATATGGTGTCGAATATAGGATTTTGGAGATCAAAGAGTACTTCCTTCATTTGTTTACTTTGTTGGTGCATACAATAAATATGAAATTTTTCAAGACTGTTCATATTTCTGCCTTTGTGAGTTATTTGTATTATTTCCATGTTTCCGTAGGGGTGTCCCCCGTTTAGTTGTGTGTTGTGAGTAGGTCAATGTGTCTTTATTATAACCTATTGCAAACTTATAATACAAGCAGTAATAACAGAGTCATATTTCAGATCAAGGGATGAATCACATGATAAACAGAAAAACACACTGGCGAACACCACCTATAAATCTGGCAACACAAAACAAAGTGGAAACAGTAGCATAAAGCAAGTGGAGAATACACACACATTTTAACACAAAACTCAATTTTAATTCCAATTAGAATATTTTAATATTTAGTACATTTTACAACATAAGGGCATTACATAAACAATATACCTGTACAACACACTCCCAGTGTGTGTGTAAAGACTGCCCAGTGTAGGGAGGTACAGCAGGTAGAAAGTGTTCTTGTAAAAGCTCTACATACCTGATAATGGCCGCAATAGGCCAAACATGTAGTACATGCAGATGCATTGTGTGCTTCTAACAGAACTATGTAGACTGAATAATATTTATAATAACACTTATTTTAGAAGCTTAAATGGTAAAATGCTGGTACATACTTTATGTTTAAAAAATGAAAAGATGTACAGGAACACTAAAATGCAATATTCAGCTTTAGTACTTCCTTGCCTGAACTTACAGGTTTCCACATGCATTCCTATTCTAACTAATCATCTTTATTTTGTACAAATTAAACACATTTTTTCCAAGTCAGCAAAAACCTTTCACTGTCATATTTTGAACAGTTTTATGTTTCACTAACGGGATATTCACTTGGGAAGGGAACTGTAATAATCTAAATATGTTATTAGAAAGCCAACCATAACACAGATTCAGCACACAACTCTGCATACAACAGTAATGGAGTACAATAAGTTTAACTTTGAAATCTACCATTAAGACTGACATAAAACTTTATTCTGTAACTCCAAGTATCTGTTCTTAATGCTTAAGAATTACAAACAATTTTCTTCAATGTTATACTTGTAAGATTGGAACAGCAGTCATCATTTTTTAACTAAAGAGGTCTCTGTGCTTACATTACTGTGATGGCTTTCAAATTAACTCAGTAACAACAAATAACAATCTCCAATTCTTTCTTCTAATATGAAGAAATTATTAAAGATGTTTCTATTATAATCACTCTGCAACAGTGAAGCTTTAAACCATTTAAAAAAGAAAGAAATAATGTTTTTCTTTATATTTCTGTAAAGAAAAAACTGAATTTAATTAATATTTCTCAAAATAAATAATCATTTTGGTGTGGAAGTTCAAGATGAAAACTTGGAGGTCAATGAGTTAAAGAGAATCACAAGACTATGAAAAGTTCTTCCATTAAGAGAAAATGTAACTGAAATCATGCAACAATTAACTGACATGTGAGTAATTCTTATGTCACCCTCATTTATGTAACATACCTCTTACAGCTTTGCCTGTATTTCTTTTATGATGCACATTTTCATTATTGCAAATTTCTATTATCATATATCACACATTACAACTACTGAAGGGTACAGCAGAAATCATATACAAAAGAGCAATGCAATTGTTACTGTCTATATTTGTGGAATTTTTTTGTAGAAAGGAGTTCAATATCCTATAGGGTTATAAGCACAGGGTTTCAATCTGGGGTCGTTGACAATAATGATGTTTCTGAATGTAGTGCCAAACAGCAAATTAATGCACATCAATGTGCTCACTGGGTGATTCTACACACCTCCTGGTCTGCAAATCTCACAGTTGACCTCGCTGCTAGCTGGAACTCCAGATGATGGTCGAACCCAAGTCCAGAATCATTAGAGTTGTCACAAGGATCTACTGTTGTCCTCTCCTGTGTCCTTGCTGCTATCATTAAATTACAAAACCTTAGTCAGCACAATTCTCTCATTTAACATCTTATTAATTGACCTACTAAAAGAATTGTGGTATAGTAAAACCAATACACCTCTCCACAAGGCAAACAGACATGTTCAGTAATTACATTATGCTATGTTGCAATATTCTGCAGTTCCAACTGGCATATATCACATTTTCTTGAACTTCATTTTTATAAAGAATACAACAGAGCAAGTCAAATCAGATGATGACTGTAATGATGGGCTGGGAAGGATGTGCAAGGAAGCAGTTTTTACAGTTAAGGTACCATCCCTGCATTTGTCTTAAGTGCCTTAAGAAGAAGAAAAAAACACCGAAACCTTAGCCAAGACAGTTGGTCTCTGTGACCTAGACCTTCCAAGCAGCAGTGCAATGTACTCATCCACAACATCCTGTATGACATTACTAAACTGCAACAACGCACTCTTAATGTTCTGATGAATTACAGTACAGTAAAATTATATTTGAGAACATGCATGGTCAAATAGGGCAAGACAGTTCAAGAACAGCTTCAACTCGATAAAAGTGTGTGCAGGCTGTAAGCTGAGTCAATATGTGGGAAATAACAATTCAATTCAGTTGAGTATGATTGTAAAGGTATGAGAGGCATCCAGCATTTGTGGGTGGTGAAATAGTCCGTACTGTCAGACACAAGTTACTGAATTGCAAGACGAGAATAGTTTAGTGGCGAATGATGAAATAGTAGTGAATGTAAACAAACAGACACCAAGATTGTGGCAAAGTGTTTCAAAACAAGTTAAAATATCAGCAAATTTTGTAAGCTTTTGAAAATGTCATGGTACCATTCAATGTACTTGTAAAATTGCTTCACTATGTAACTGTTTAAATTATTGGGGATCATTAATACACGTATACATATTTCATAACAAATACAAGGGTGGGCAAAAGTTACATTACACTGCACTTTTCATTTTGATTCTAAAGGGGTCTGATGATGGTGAATGACACAGAATTACTGGGTTTTGGATTTTTTCCATCATCTGGAATTCTAGGTAATAGAGGACACAACGTTTTGGAAACAGATCCAGTTTCTGAAACGTTGTGTCCCCTATTATGTGGTGTCATTTATTACCTAGAATTCCAGATAAAGGAAAAAGTCCAAAAACCCAGTAATTCTGAACTTTTCATTTTGTTGCACACTCACATCCATTTTATGCCACAAGTGAGCTGAAATTAAAAAGATAAGAATGAACATAAAGATACAATAATACCCAAAAATGTAGGTGTAAACAAAATCGTAATATTATTTTGGATACCCCTGCAATCAATTACTGATCAGAACTGCATTTTATAACCTCCCTTTCTGTCGGTTATTTAACAACACTTTTTCAGTATCTGGACTACACGGTGCTGGGAGCTTTTTATATATTAGAAAATGGAGGAGTACCTCACTTATTTACAGACTTACAAAAAGTCTATGGCTCAATGAATACTACAAACATTCTTGTTGCATCTGATATGCTTAAGCACTGTGCTAAGCTAAAGAAAATACCGAATCTGAGCTCCACATGGAAGTGACTATGAAGAGTACTACCTCCTTGGATGTGACATCATGAAGTCTGGTAGAAGTTTACTGGCACTGCTTGGATTACTCTTTGACTCTGATGATGTAGGCAGTACATTACTCTGCAATATCGATAAACTTCTACCAGGCCACATGGCATAACATGGCAGAAGGCAGTATTCTTCTATATAAAACATGTTCAAAGAAACTACAGAAGCCATATCACCATTAGTTATTTTTGAAAATGCCATTAGATAAGTCAAAGACAACTGCAAGAAGGTAATATTAAAATAGACCTTTTGTAGAAATATAATGTGAAGATATGGACTGAATTCAAATGCCTCAGAAAATTATTTAATGGTGGGTTTAGTGAACATGGCAATGAATATTCAGTATTCATAAAAAAGGGAGAAACTTACAGGCTGTCTGAGTAACTATCAACTTTATAAGAAAGACTCTGTAACACAGGTAGTTAGTTGCCTGACACTTGAATAGTGTGCTAATTCTGGTGGGTAATCAGTACTTAAATGGCAGACACAATGACTGTGTACAGGGTACACTTGCTTCTGCTTTTACAACAAGACCTGATGAACAACTGTAGCTAACAAACCCAGAACAGTGCACCTGACATGAATTCATGCCTTGCCCTCCAGACTGGCAATCCTGAACAAGTTTTCTTCATTCTCATAATCCATACATGAAAATGATAGGGCAGACATTACAACGGTCCACAATCATTATCGCACACTTCAATGATCACAACCACACAGCCATTCATGCTGCATAACCTAGACACCTGACATTTTGTCATTAAGTAAACTAGGAAACAAACAATAATGGACAAATATTATAAATATGTAAAAAACTTCAAACTAAATACTTTTTAATGTGTTGAACTGTACCAAAACGATTATAACATAACCTTTCAAGGTTATACTAATACATTTCACCATACTACTCAAATGATCAGTTCATTTTACTATTTAAAATTCCATCTTTTTCTGCAGCTTTTGTTAATGTTCAGTGATGGGATGTCACTTCCTGAAGAGAGATGTGTGTGCCCAAAACATGCTGTGAACAAACAATTGAATGTAATGTAGGAGCATGAACAATCACACAATATTAATGAAAGCTGAAGAAAATGACTGAATTTTAATTTAAAATTGACTTTAAGGTTATGTTTATAAGAAACAGAAAAGTCTTTAATAACTATGTGCTTGACTAATCAAGACACCTGGCTCTATGTAGGATATGAGGTTATCACATTGGTGATGATGGATAGTCCTATCTTCTGGGCTATGGACCCTGTAGTGCATTGAAAGTCAACTGACATTTTGGAGGAACACATCACTTATTTTCCTTCATGTGACAGAAATATATACTAAAGTATTAACATATGAAGAAACCTAAATATTTATGCACAATTCAAACCCAATATTACAATGTGGAAAGCAATAAGTAATGTCTGATTCACACATCTGCAAATTCAATATCTGAGAAGGGTGAACAATTTATTGTATTTCCATGGTATTAATGCAGATTTAAATATAATGTACATTCAACTATTAGACACTCAATTAAAAATATTTTTACATGTCACTTGCATGGAGCTGGGATGGTGCAGTCGGTATAGCGACTGGCTAGGGGTTGGATGGTCGATGGGTCAGAGTTTCAGACCCGGTAGGGTCAAGAATTTTCTCTTCTCCACGTCATCCAGACTGGCTCTGGGGTTCACCCAACCTCCTATTCAATAAATAGGGGGGCTCTTAGAATGTGGGTTAAGCAGCCGGGGCATGAAGCTGACCACTCACCTCCTGCTGGTGCCAAGGTCAAGAAAACCTGTATCTATACATCCACTCCCCCACACTCCTTAAGCACCTTTTACATGTCACTTGCATTAAACTTCTTGACAACAGTTGAACTGAACAAAGAATTCTCACAAGATGGTGGGGATAAGAGCTGCTACAAAAGGAGAACCTGCTCCCCCACTCTACCATCCTAACCCGTCTACTGGCACAATCCAGAAAGATTAATCCAGCCAGTGGGAATTGAAAAGTGGTCTACAATCCATCAGAATTATTTGCCCTGCTCCACAACAGTTCATAAATACAGTTACCAGCTAACAAATTATTAGTGACAGATTTCCTTCAAAGCTTCTAAGCTCAGCTGTACTTTTCATTCTTGTCACAACAAGGAACAAATAATCTGAATAAACAACACACTTTTGGCAGTGAATTTTACAAGCAGTAAATTATCCAAGAGAATTGCATGCATACAAATATAATGTACAGTAAATATTCTGGGAGATATTTGAAAGGAAACAATGAACATTAAGGTGGCTTCCAGCTCAAATCTCTCACCCCCCCCTCCAATCTAACAGTCATGCAACAGGCTAGCGTCTGTAGCAGGCATATGTATATGACAAAATCAAAAGCGAGTAACTCTCCAGAAGCATAAGCAAATATTTTGGTGCACAACAAAACACTACCACTGAAACACACACTTCAATCCTGCACATGAACAGACCAGAATCTTCAGATTATTACAGGTTTCAGAAACATGGTTTCACTCTTCTTTGACCACTACCTCAGTAAAATTTTAATTGCACACCTTCAACATGGAATGAATGATTCAGTCTAATACAACAGTTGACTGACATATTCCAATTTTTCAGAGGACATGGAACATTACTTACTTACTCTTGGAGCTGAGCCCTTCTTGAGGAGCCGCCAATTCTGCAGTTACTCAAGAATTTCCCAGCATTATATGGAACCCGAAGGTTCATTACCGTGTTCACAAGAGCCATCCACTGGTTCCTATCCTGAGCCAGATCAATCTAATCCATACCATCCTATTCTATCTCTCTAAGATCCATTTTAATATTGTCCACCCAACTACACCTTGGTCTTCCCAGTGGTCTCTTTCCTTCTGACTTTCCCACCAATATCCTATAGGCATTCCTCTTCTCCCCATTCATGCTACATGCCCTGCCCACCTCATCCTCCTTGACTTGATCATTCTAATTATACTTGGAGATGAGTACAAGTCATGAAGCTCCTCATTGTGCAGTTCCCTCCAACCTCCTGTCACTTCGTTGCTCTTCGGTCCAAATAATATCTCAACACCCTGTTCTCAAACACCCTCAATCTATGTCCCTCCCTTCGTGTCAGAGAACAAGTTGCACGCCCATACAGAACCACAGGCAAAATTATAGTTTTGTATATTCTAATTTTTATGTTTTTGGACAGCAGACGTTAAGACAAATAGTTGTGGACTGAATGGTAGCAAGCATTACCCGAGTTCAATCTCCTCTTAATTACCTCCTGAATCAGGTTTTGAATTGTTATCGCCGTTCCCAAATATCTGAACTGTGCCACATTTTTAAAACATCTGTTACCTATCCTTATGTCATGATTTTGCCCTGCACTTTGGTGACGAGACAGCAACATATACTTAGTTTTCTCTGTGGTTACTTTTAGACCAACCTCCTTACTTGTGTCAATTAAAGTTTGTGTGTTTTTCTTTATGGTTTCCATATTATCACCCAGTAGATTCACATCATCAGCATAGACCAACAGCTGATGTGTCCCGTTTAATTTCAGTCCCACCTCGTTTTCCTGGACCTTCCTAGTGGCATATTCTAAAGCAGAGTTGAAAAGGAGTGGCAATAAAGCATCTCCTTGTTTAAAACCATAAATGGGCAAAAAAACTTAACATTTCTATATTCTGTATGACTGAAAACAATCATTATCATATATGAACAATGGAAACAAGATTCACTCATGAATAACTTTTGTATCCTATTACACTACAAAGGAAGATGTGAAGTAGCAGACTGTTAAACTCATCTTCCTTAAAGTGCATCCATGTAGAGGTGTAAATATCAAACACATTCATTCATAGAGACAACTACAGTACAATTAGTGGATGTGACAATTTCTGAAGAGAGATGGCCATAACTCTCAACCCAAACGAGGTTCTAGATGACTTGTTGGGGGTGGCTAACAGATGATTCTTAAAATAATTAACTAACTACAAGGCAAATTATTATACTGTGTTCAATATTCAGTTGGTTCTTTCATATATCTGACAAGAAACTGAAGATTCATAACTGTTCACAAAACACTATTCAAGAGGCTATTGGGTGTTCCCATTCCAAAATATATTTTGAACAAAACGGGCAACTAGACTTAAGAGATGGCATGAGTGCTTCTCTTCCAAAACGTCTTTTGAATAAACTGGGTACTTCTAACTGAACTCAATATGAACTACATGTCATGATCTGAAGTAGGACATGTTTCTGTAGGCTTGAACAGACATAACTACCACCTCATAAATTTCTCCCTACTCATCCTTCACAATCATCCTTACATGACATCTACTGTTAAAAAGACTTTACAGTTTAAATGGTTTCACAAAATAACTAAAAATCCAGCATACTGTGGCATGTAGACCTGCTGCTAGACGACATCAAAATAAGCTACTATACAACAGCTGCTGCTAAGTAATGTCCCGTAAACAACAACAAAGGAACGGTGTTTTCTGCAGGGTCAACACCTATGGCTGCGCACCCAACAATGTTATGTCATGCAACCACTACACAACAACTGCACCACAAAAGAACGGTGTTTTCTACACGAACCTTCCCAAGATGATATAAAAAAGTCAGTCAGTCAGCGAAGTCAGTGAACAGTTCATTGGTGAGTTAGTGAGTGGGTGAGATAACCACTGAGGTTCAGCTGTTGTGAGCTGCTGATGCGAGAAGCTGATAGTTGAGACCGGGGACGGTTGGGGAATTCAGAGGAAGAAGAATGACTGCCATGTGAAGCCGCTACCAGACAAGGATTGATGAAGATGCAGCAGACTGAGAACACTTAATGCGTGCTCTAGTGAACTATAGTGTGTGTCAATCAGCGATAGCGCTACACTTCTAGTTACGATCTGTAAGTGTTCAATAAATAAAATTACCAATCCAAACCCACTCTATAGTCACTTTATCACATGGTAATATATTTATTTGATTTGGAGTTCCCTGTACAGCAATGCCCATAAATACAGCTTATTTAAAGTATCTATCAGCACATAGTTCCACATTGTCCATACCAGCTCTGGGGCCCACTGAGTGTCCTATCCAGAAGGGGGGGGGGGGGGAGTCTTTCCCCAGGGATAAAGCGCAAGGGGCGTGAAACTGACCACTCACCTCAAACTAGTGCCCATGCCAAGAAAATGTGGATCTATACATCCACCCCCCAAACGCCTTCATGGCGTAGTGCTTAATTACTTAAGCACAGGGACAACTTTAACTTTATCAGCACACAGTTTCTGCATCAAAATTAACAATTACAGGAGAATAAAATACCATGTACCATGGCCAACTGTGCTGCTGTCATTGTGCAGAGCTCAGCATGTTGGCATTCCTATCGTATAATTATGCATGCCACTAAGTGGCAACCAAGTAAACTCACCGTTTTAAATTATAATCTAAACTTAGGGCCATATCAACAACACTCATTCTCCACCTAGAGTGTGTTCCTGCCAATATAAGAGTCACAACACTGCAAAGGCTTTAAGAGGATATGGCTGGTTTATTTTCCACTTACTTTATGATCTGTATCAGCTGCAGAAGTAATGTGGTATATTATTCCCCCATCTATGCCTAGGTTTCCCAAGTGATCTATGATCTACCAATTTCTGACTAGAATTCTGTGTGCATTTTTCATCTCCCCCATAAGAGTTACATGCCCCATCTATCTCATCCTCCAGTGATCTTATTACCCTAATATTATGCAATTTCCTCCAACTCTCAGTACTTCCTGTCTCTTAGGTGCAATATTATATTTAAGCATCCTGTTACATTCCACACTTCTATATGTATAATATAAACTCTGTCGTAAATGTAACGCTTTATTGTAGTTCTTGTCCCCCTTCTTTTACACTACACGTTTCGGCCACAACCGGCCATCATCAGGCGTATTTCACTTCACGTAGCTGTCACACTGCACTCAATATTAACATTTAAACTCCAAATTTACAATTGTTCATTGCTCTGTCATCAGTGGGCACCCAATATTCCAGAACACCCCTTGTTGATTTTGTCAGTTATGTTTAAAATCATTATTAATATTCACACGCCGATTGGTTTAAAATTTTAAATTCTCTATTTAGCTTTAATATTTAAAATTTAAATTTATGTTTAAATCAAAATCACAGAGATACCTGCTCTATGCTTACATGTGCTGCAGCGGCTACCTCTTGCTTTCAGCACAACTCGCGTGTTATCTGTAATACACAAATATTCGTGTTACTGTCTTATGTTCTTACATTATTCCTACATATTTTATACTGTTATGTGTACTTACTTTGTGCAGGTTCTCTGTGTGCGTGCCACTGCTTTTCTTTAATACGTTTGCTGTCTGGTGTGTTGTGTTTTTATGTTGTTGAGTATAGAAGGGGAATTGGTAGTTGGGGGAGGGTGGTGTACCGTTAGTTGGTATACTACCGTTGGTAGTTGTAGATCTAGTGTATTGTTTGAAATATGGGATTGTGTATATCTATGTATGTGTCATTCATGTGTAGGCCCTTTTTACTTATATATATATGGTATTTTTCTAGTGTCTGTCTTTCTTCCTCGTTGTTATAACTTCAATTACGTTTGCTATTGTTCCGTATGTATGTCCCGTGTTTAGTATGTGATTTGAGTATCTAGAATTGCTATTATTATTTCTAATATCGTGTATATGCTCCTTATATCTGGTGTTAAATGTTCGGCCCGACTGTACAATGTATTTTAATGGGCAATCTACACATTTCATTTAGTATATACCACTTTTATTATATTTATCTAATTGTGGTTTATGTTTAAGTATATTTTCAATTGTGTTCCGTGTGCGACATGCTACTTTTATATGCATGTCTTTGAAAAGTTTCGTGATTTTTCATACTTCTTTCCTACCATATGGAAATATGGCCCACTTTGTTGGTGTTGTTCATCATCATGTGTGTTTGATTTTTGTTTTCGTTTTGTCTGAGTTTGCCTGTTGATTATGTTTGTGTTGTATTCGTTGTTATGTAGTATGTTTTTAATAGTGTTCTTTTTTATCTGTTTCTCTTTTTCCGTTATTAGGTATGTGTAGAATCTGTTTATTAGATAGTTAATACCTGACAATTTGTGCTCAAATGGATGGCACGAACTGTTAGGTATGATGATGTCCGTCTGTGTGGGTTTCCTATATATTGCAAGCTATCTTCATTACGATGTATTGTTATATCTAGAAAATTGATAGATTCTTGTTGTTCTTTTTCAATGGTGAACTTTATAGTTGGTTGCAATTCGTTAATTTCTTTGAGAATATGTTCTATGTCCATTATCTTTTCATCATATATTATTAATATGTCATCGACATATCTAAAGTAAGCCATTATTTATTGTTTTACTAGAATGGGATATACTTGTATGTTCCATATATTTCTCCTATTGTTGCTGATGTTGGGGCTCCCATAGCTAGTCCATCTGTTTGTTTATAGTATTCTTGGTCAATTTGAAAGTTATTATGTTCTAATACTGTTTTTAATATATGTATTATTTCCTTGTGGCTTTCTTTATTAATTTCTTGGTTTTCTTCCAATACAGTGTTTATTATATCTATAGTATTTGTTTTCGGTATGTGTGTGTACATGTTCTCTATATCAGAGGAACATAGTCGCATATTCTCGTCAAGTTTAATAGTTTGTAAATCTGTCATTAGGTGGGTGGAATTTTGGACACTGTATGTATTTGGTAATTTTCGATGACTATGCAACACTTTTGCTAATTTTCTTGTTAGTTCATATGTTGGGGCGTTTTTCCAGTTTATTATTGGTCTAATGGGTGTTAGGTTTACGTAATTTTGTTGTGGCATGTAGGTTTGGGGCTGTGGGATTCATATTGGTGTATTTCCATTTGTCCTTTTGTATGATGTTACTACACTGTTTCAGTGTTTGTTTTACTGCCCTTTGCTATTGTTGGGTCGGATTTTGTCAGCCTTTATAAATTGGTTATTGTGTATAAAGTTATTTATTTTCTGTTTATATTCCTCTTATGTAAGTATTACTACTGTTT